GTTAAATAAATATAATTATTTATGTTTATAATTTATAAATTAAATAATACTATGTTAATAGTAATGTTAGGAAGTTATGAAAATTAAATCAAGATAGGATGTATTTGCTACGTAAGTTTGCAAAATGAAATTGATCTTTTTACAATCCATCGATGGTCTAAAAACCTTAAAGCAATGATGAAATCAACGAGGCGCGAAATTCGAAATAGTGACCTCATTAACGGAACAAACTCCATCATTTGAATTAGATTGTGATGGTTCGACGATGGCACGTCCAACAGAGAATGCTGGTTCAGTTGGACGAGGAAGCGATATGGTACCATCGCTTGCCAACATGTAAATCACCGATGACATGGTTGGCCTGACCGATGGGTCTTCTTGCACGCACAACAGCCCGATATGAATGCATTTAAGAACTTCAGAAGCCACACTTGACGGAACAAGGCATTGATCTATCAACTCCATCCCTGAACCTCTGGACCATAGTTTCCATGCCTGGACCATTTCAGAGCTTAAAAATCATTACGATAGTTTGCTTATTAGACCTAGTGTTTGAAGACGAAGGAGAAACGAAAAACATACAAAAGTCAGCAGGCTTTCACCACTCAGTAAAAGATGGAAACCATTGTTCTTTCTTCCACTTATAATCTCCAGCAGCAGGACACCAAAACTAAAAACATCAGATTTGATAGAGAAGAGGCCATGCATAGCGTACTCGGGTGCCATGTATCCGCTGTTTTAGTAATTTGTACGAAACGATTAAAACAAAAAGTACGGAGAAAATCAATAAATAACAATGAGTGCACTTAGACTTACTATGTCCCGACTACTCTCTTGGTATTTGCTTCATTCCTATCTTCTCCGAAAATTCTTGCCATACCGAAATCTGAGATTTTCGGATTCATTTTATGATCAAGTAGAACATTACTGGCTTTAAGGTCTCTGTGGATAATTCTGAGACGAGAATCTTCATGTAGATACATGATACCTCGGGCAATGCCTTTAATGATGACGAATCGTTTCTGCCAATCCAATTGTGCTGATAAGTTTGGATCTGAGATAAATGCAGATCAAAAGCAAAACATTTCACTACTTTGTTTAATGTTAGTATTTTTTCTTTATAAGAAAGATAATAGTCTTGGGATCAAACCGAAAAGGAAGAGGTCGAGGCTTCTATTGGGCATGAATTCATACACAAGCAAATTTTCGTTTTTCTCTAAGCAGCATCCTAAGAGCTTCACAAGATTTCTATGTTGTAATCTGGCGATTAACATGACTTCATTCTTCAACTCAACAAGCCCTTGACCTGAAGTTCCAGACAGCCTCTTAACAGCAATTTCTTTACCATCTTCTAGTGTGCCCTGGAATAATTCGTTCATTTATGTAACGCATTATTCAGATATAGACTCGAACAAAAGCTTCATGTTATATAATATAAATGATAGGCCCTCTAGAGTTAGGTGGTCTTTACTATAAAATGGTCTTTACTATAGTTTAACCTAAAATAATTTACCTTGTATACAGGACCAAATCCACCCTCCCCGAGCTTATTATTATGAGAAAAGGAGTTTGTTGCTGCATGTAAAATATCCAATTGAATTGAAGGTAACTCTTGAGACTTGCCCATATTTTCTCCACTAAACGTTTCCGTTGAGTGCTCATTAGGAATTCTTCCGTCTACCAAGTCAAGTAGTTGAGCACCTTGGCTATTTTCTCTATTCTCTGTAAAAAAATCGAAGCGCGACCGCCATGAGAATATAAGAAAGATCTGTAGTTCTTGCCAGAAAGAGTAATCCGCTGCATACCTTGATTGTTTCTCCTCCTCCAGATAAAGAAACCAGAGACCGAAATCACAGCTACTCCGAAAGTTGCTGATAAACTTGCAACAAGTATTGTGATCCAGTTTGAATTGTTTTGTGTGTCTTCTTCTGATTAAATCAGGATAGAATCAGATATTATACTAAATCAGAGTTAAAGGACTGAATTTAAAACTTATGCCAGTAAGGATAAACCTGGAGCCGGAGCCGGAGGTAGAGGTGCAATTGCTGTTTGATTATAGAATGGGTAAATATCATATCTGATGTTACAGCTAGGATTCAACACTCCTCCCCCTTGCCTTCCGACGCAACAACTTAGATTCGCTATCGATCTTTGCAGACATGTTCTGCAATCCGTATCCGATAAGTCCGGTGTACACTGCTCGAGGATGTACAGTGTTTGATTCGCTGAAACATTGGTTTCTACCGCTGCAAATCTTTTTTCACTCGGTTGATTTTCCGCCCGGTTTAATATTTCGTTCATGCTAATCACAGCCGCGGCCGACACTACCTGGTCGAAATATCCATCTTGCGGGGTGAAGCTGGTGTTTCTCTGTGTGTCGAGCCAATAACCTATACGTGTGTCATCTAAAACCGAAACGATAGTTTGATTCGAGTACCGGAAGATGCACTCCCCGTAATAGATAATCGCTGTTTTCTCAACGGGACAACGTCGGGTAAGGTCTTCGGAGGCGAAGTTGATACACGCTTGGCAGAAGGTGGTATTAATATCCACACGGCAGTGGGAAATGCCGTATACAGTGTCGGGGCTGCTGCCTGCGGTTGTGTTGTAGAAACCATCTCGGCGGGTGGTATTAGACACCAGCCAAGACAAGACGGTGTCACGATTCGCTTGGTAAGTGCTGTTTACGGTGAAAGTGGTGTTGTTCGAACACACATGGTAGATATAAGTAGGCTGCTGAGCTTCCGATTTAAGGCTAAGCCAGGAGAGGAGTATTACTAGCAGGATTGTGAAAGTCATCTCCTTTCAGGTTGGATCATAAGACAACAGATATAAGGTTTATAAATTATACTAATATGGTTTGTTCTACAAAGGAAAATACTTTATAAATTATTCAAAGTCAAGTCATTGACTTTTTATTGTCTGCTAATTTCGCGTTATTATTTAAAAAACCTGGAAAAATCATTTATTTGAAAAGTAACTCTAAACACCATTAATTAGAATAATACCCCTAAACTTCTCACATAAAATGACCACGCGTTCTGTGAAATGTAAATTCAAATATAACATTTTACGAAAATTGAGTTACGAAAATCGAGTTGCATTCATTTATTGTTTTCGTTATCCAAAAAATAAATAAGTTTATATAAAAAGTTGATGAATCTCGCATCCATTAAAACTTGAGGTCTATTAAAAGCGTTTTGTAGAACGTGATAATATTATGTGGGTAATTTAGGAGTATTTTTCTAATTAATGAAGTTTTGGTTAGTTATCCCATAAATAATTTTTTTGGTGTTTTTTAAAATAAAAACGCCTGCAAATTTCGTCTAGAAGGAAGACTAGAAATCTCAACCAAATTGATATTTAAAATTAGAAACGATAAGCCTACTTTTTCACAAATCGGTCTGCAGAAGTTATATAGTTTATTGGGTAATTTTTAAATTTTCTTTATTTCGTGGCAGCGGTTGTGATTTTCTCCCACCATTACTATGCCATTTTTAGTTTTTTTTATCGTATTTTTAATAATAATTTCTTTTTGACCCTTTTTTTAATAAAGGATATCATGGCTACTCATGTTTTAAACTCTCGGTATATGTTTTTTATTAGTCTTCTTTTTGATTTTTTGTTTTTTTGCTGAATACATAATTGGTTACTTTTCCGATGTTTCGTTCCTTTGTTCGTTTGTATAATAAGGTTCATTGGTTATCGCATATATATGCCGGCTAGGATTGTTGTTAAGGGAAGATCGTTTTTTTCGTTAGTCATTTTGATTATTCTTCAAGTTTATCTCCTCCTTGTTTTGATACCTAAAGCCGTTAGTGTATTCAGTTTATGTACGTCGTTGCTCCACTTGTTAATGATTTTGTTTATCATGCTATCACTAAGCGATCATTGTTATATTTTACTTCGATGGTCTTGACTATATTTGTTCAGTCTATAATTGATAAGATGTTTGTTGATACGACTTTCAATAAATGAAATACCTTGATTATTTTTAAAAAAAAATTAAAGATTGTTAGATACCAAACAATCAAAAAAAGATTTTCTTTGATTTTCTCCTTTTTTTATTTTAAACAGAATGATATTAAAAAAGTTAAACTGAAAATAAGATTAAAACACATGGGAAAACAATATTAAGGAATAAAAAGAGACTTATTTCTTCGTTCATCCCCTTTGGAACGCAAAATTTACAAGTAATAGTCTTCGATCAATTAAAAAAATTTCAATATTGAAGATTAGACATACTGATCAATTGGAATCATTCTTTATTTTAAAAATATGAAGATTTCTCTTTCTTTCTTTTTCCCGTGATTACCATTAACACAGTGAATTATCGGACTATTTTGAGTCATCACCTTATCAATTTGAATCAAATCACTAAAATAATGATAGTTAAATGTTTGATGTGAGAGAAAAAAATATAAAAAGATTATTTTTTAAAAAAATACATTAACATCTTCATTAATTTTTTAATACTAGCCAGCAAGATTATTCCATTGCATGCTTTGACTGTTGAATGTTTCTGCTCCTGCAAAAGAGAAAATCGAAGACAATGTCACAGTTACCCAAAAAGTTACAGATAAACTTGCAACAAGTATTGTGGCCTGGTCTGCTTTGTTTGTTCTGTTTTTTTTAATCAAATAAGGATAGAATCTCATGTTCTTCATGCAATTCATGGAAATTGGAATGAATATAGGAGTTTGTTCTTTAGATTATTTTGATTGGCTCGAATGCACTTTGCGCATCAAAATGCACACATCCACCCCGTAACATAATTTTTTCATCAGGGAAAATAAAAAAGGAAAGCAGCAGAATTAATCAATGAATAGTGAGGATAACCCTGGTACCGGAGAAGAAGGTGGAGCAACAACTTTGGTTTGATAATAAGACAAGTTTCGTATCTAACGCTGTAATTAAGACTAAGACTCTTCTGATTCGATTATTCTTCTACGGTTGTAGTAGCTGACTGCTGCTTTTGAATTCTGGTACCCAGAATTTATTTCTTTCCTCATCTGCTAAAAGAAATAAATTCTGGGTTTCTGATTCGATTCTTTATTTGATTACTGAAAAACAATTTGATATCAATATATTATGGTTGGAAATTCTTCTGCGCTTTACCGATTTATGTCTGTTTCTTCAATCGGGTATATTCAAAGCTAGAACCAAATAGAAGTGGAAGAACCAGTGCTGCTGCACATATGACTGCCATGATCATCCCCATGCTCCATCTATCCCCTGTTTCCATACATATTCATCCAATAAGATAATCTTGATGACAAGGCAACCGTGATGATGAATGTGCACATTTGCTATACAAGCATGATATATATATAATGTTACATTAATAATGTAAAGAATCCTGATTTCAGTTGTCATGAACAACACAAAATCTAGGAGAAAAGTCAAGAATGGAAGTTTTCGTGAGCCAAACCTCGAGCTGAAGGGGTCAGAGCAGCAACTGCTGTTTGAATCGGTTCCTGATAAGTCCGGAGTACACTGGATAAGGGTGTACAGTGTTTGAGAACATGAAATATTCTTCTCTTTAGTCGCAAATTTTTTGGCCCCTGCGGCTTCAGTTTCCACCAGGATAGCAGTATCATTAATTCTACTCGGAATATACGGGTCGAAACGGTCTTGCTCAGTGAGAGTCGGACTCACGGTCATGCCATTAAAGAAGGCAACTCTAGGTGCTTCAGCCACAATGGAAAATATATTTCGATTTGAGTATCGTATCCGGCACCCATCGAACCATATCCCGGCCTCTTTTTCAATGGGACAACGTCGGGAAATGTCATTGGTGGCAAAGGTTTCACACGCTTGGCAGTCGTTCGTAGAAGATCTCCAAGGCATCCATACAGGCCATATACCATGTCAGGGTTCCTGCTTGAGGTTGTGTTGTAGAAACCTTCTCCCCCGGTGACATTAGACGACAATGAAGATAATAAGCTATCGCGGTTGGTCCGGTAAGTGCTGCTTATGGAGAAATTGGTGGTGTTTGGACAGAAGTGGTAGACATAACTAGACTGCTGAGCTTCAGTTGTATGGTTAAGCTAGGAAAGGAGTATGAGTAACAGGTCTATGGAAACTGTGGATATCTGCAGGCGTTTCCTAATAAAACCCATCTCTCTCTTTTAGCTTTGATCATAAGACAACAGAGACTTAAACTATATTGTTATAGGAGAAGGCAGTTTGCCATTGCAGGAGATCCATTGATCCTTATCACATAAGAAAAACACCATAGGAAAGCCAGTTGATTTTTAAATTGTCTGTGTATAAGTCAATTGATCCTTACAATTACGATGTGCTAGTCGTGACAGCAAAAATGAAAGCCCGTGAATGTAAATTGAATGGAAAGAGCTAGGAAACTATACAAAAGTTGATCAATCTCTATCAATCTACAACACAATAGACTTTCTTTTGTTTAATTATATATTGGCCTGGATTTAGACATTTAGTTTAATTTAACCAAAGTCCAATTTAGTTTTTTTTTAACAAAATCAGTTAATATTTTATTTATTATATATAACAATAATGTATACATCCATAGAAATTTCAATGGAAGTCATGCTTGAGGCTGTTTAAGCGCATCTTCGAATCCTTACCATAGATCTATTAATTGGATGAGCCTATATATATCGAATCAATTAATTTTTTTTTTAAAAATAAATATAAATAGATTTGATTTTTAATCGAAGAAATCAAATTACAATAATGCTAGAGAGATATCGAGTACTCCGCAATTTCCATTTCTTTGACGGATGTCCAAGTTTAACTTTCTTCTTCTTGTTGGATATCTTGCCATCTTTACCTATACGAATCTTCCCTTCCTTGTTCATCCCGTGGTGCTTACTCTTTATGCCCCATGTCTTGTACTTAACCTTCGTCGACAAATCGGCCCTTAATTCAGCCGTTGCATTCATCATTGCCTTGTGGAGGCCGGTCCAAAGACGCGTCTCGACGTCCACTTGGTCGATTACTCGATGAGTTCTATCCCACCCTTGGTAAAACGAAGGGATAGTTTTGCTCCCCACTTTGTCTTCCCCATAATAGAACATGAGGAGGATATCATCGTAGTAGATACCAGAGTCTTCGTTCGGGTTTTCGATATCGAGCTCGTAATGTATGGTTCCGTGATCGGATGCGTTGCTGTCATTTGCCTCCAGGACCGAAAAGTTGACGATGGTGTAGGTGGGGCTTCTGGGACGCAAGGCTAGCCATAGACAAAAAGCAAGAAGGCCTAATAGGCCAACGACTTGGAGAAGCCATAAGTAGAAGCTTTTGGTTTCGCACATGGTTGCAGAGAGAATGAAAAACAAGATTGTTTCCCGCAAATGTTAGAATGGAATTTGGCTTAATTGTGGCTACAGAAAAGTGCTCGAGTTTGAGTGAGAATAAAGTCAGTCTAAAGAAATTCATTGGTTGAAGCAGGCAGCTTTTAGTTTAAAATATTCTTTTCTTTTGGAGTGTTATTTTGCTTTGCCGCTAAAAATATTATTATTTAATATACTAATAATAAAACGAGGGACCGTATGTGTGTTTGGGGGTTCATGTTAATAATGATTTTGTTTTTTATGCAGATCATGATGAAATTAGAGATCATCTTTTTGCTGATTGTATTTTCTCGAAGAATGTTTGGGGGTTGATCATGCGACCTTGCCATGTGATTGGGGTGATGTTGGTTGGCATGATATGTTAGATTGGGTGCAGGGTCATGGGTGGGGTAAATCGATGGGAGCTACTGTTGTTAGGTTGACTTGGTGTGGATATCTTTATTTTATTTGATAGGAGAGGAATGATATATTCCATGAGATTGGCCTGAAGCAGGCTGAAAGGCTGGTTCTGCAGATTAAGCAGGCTGTTAGGATGAGGTTAAGGGGGTGTGTAAAAGTTACTGCATCATCTTGTGCTCTTGCAGAGGAATGGGGTCTAGTTTAACTGGGGTGTGTTGTTATTAGGCTGTTGTGTGATTGTTTGGTTTGGTGATTTGTTGGATTTTTTGTTGTTTGGTGTTTCGAGTTTATATTTGTTGGTGCACAGGATGGTCTCTTACGAATGAATAAAATTCTTTCATTTATCTAAAAAAAACCAATGGCTTTATAAGATGATATTGAGTGCATCAAAACTTAATAGTGTATTAAAAGATAATTAAAGAATCTTCTTTTCTTCCTTTTAGGTTTTAATGTTGTTAAATTGAGGGTCAGGTAAATAAATTATCATCAAATTATGTTAACAGATTTTTTTTGGTCTCATCATTAAATTTTATTAAATTATTGATCACTAAACTTATAAAACTATTGTAAAAAGATTTTTAAATTTATCGAAATTCATCATTGTTTTTATAATGTGTAATGATTATTTTATAAGATTTGATCGCATTGACAAATGAATTGCAAAAGGGAATTAAGCTATCGAAATGTCACCGATAAAACCACAAATTAGAGTCGAGTAATGTAAAAAACTATCCATGAATGCAAACTAAATATTCAAATCCAATTTAAGGGTCAAAAGTAGGAAAGATCAGTATGAAAATAAATAAGTCTTATCTTGATCAGTTATGACGATATTAAATCAACCTTTAAAAACATAAATGAAAAATAATGACCAAACGACAAAAAATGTGTCAAAAGACAGAGAAAAACGTGTCATAAAGATAGACTTATTGAAAATTAAAATATGAGAAAAATAAAAATGTAATATAAAAATAAAATGATAATAAAATATATCGACGGTCAGCAACCAACATCAAGGTTTATGCTATCGTCGATCAATAAAGATGAAAAAAAAGGATGAATCATAGACCACACAAAAGAGAGAAAGTAAAGAAACTAGATGTAAATTTATTATTGATTAAAAATAGTTAACTAAATGTCCATATAATTTTGATTAGGAAGCAAATAATGGTAAAAAATTATCATTATTATTTTGATAATAACAACTAATGATACTATCAGATTAACTTTATTAATAATATTAAACTAAATACTGAAATAAAGATTTATACTTAAAAAAATATCGACAAACAACACCAAATCTAACCAAAACAAAATGGAACAGAAATCAAGTGAAATAGACAGGACATTTCTTGTTCTTCGAAGCTGGTAACATCGACCCATCGGAACCCACTGAAACATCACAATCTGCGTGCATTTTATGGTGCTTACTCTTCCATGCCGAAACCCTAAATCTTATTCCCGATGTTATTTCTAAACGAAAAACCACAGTCCCATGTTGCCTATCATTCATAAACTCCTTCCACTCATCGGTGTTTACAGTAAGCGTTGCTGCACCAATTGTACCTTGCACGATCGTAGTTGTCTTGGGGTTTAGGGAAAACGGGGGGTACAATGCGCTCGACCCGATTCGCTGATCTTTATAAAAGGCCGACACCACCATGGAGTCGTAATAGATACCCATGTGTTGGTTCGAGTTCCTGGCTGTGACATTGAACGTTATTAGAGAATTGTCCAGCACTGATTGTTGAGCCAACGTGGGGACGGTGAAATCTATCGTATGGAACCTTGGACGATGAGGGTGTAAACTAAGCCATAAGATGAAGAAGAAAACGCCAACGAATAGAAAAATGAACAAGAATATGGCACATAACACTTTGGTGGCTTTAGCGGTGAAGCTTTCGTGAACTCGATGCGCGTAGTAGCGGGCGGAGTGGTGGTGTTTGATGGCCTGGGGTTGAGGCCGGGAGTCTCGAACAGGCAACCTGACGGAATCGGACATGTTTTTCGATGAATCGAGAAGGTTTTTAGAGGGAGTTTTGGTGAGGAAAAGAAGTATTTGTAGCACAGGGAAAGAATTAAGACACGTTAAAGAATTGGGAGTCTTTTTTGCGTGGCGATGGAGAAAGAAAGGAATAAGGTCATATTTGTATGGTACAAACTCAGAATAGGCTTAGAAGTATGTGTAAAGGCTTCTTGCAACCTATGACCTACAGGAACTGCAAAGCATGTGTACATTTAGGAGAAAGAATATGATTTTCAGATTCTGCTGCACGAGTTGTGTCCTAACTCCTAACCCTTATTTCTATGCCGCCGTTCCGTTTGGTCGGAGAGTTGAGGTTGACGAAAACCAGGTTGAACCCACTCCAAGAGACACTAAAGTTGAAGATGACAGCATTAAAAGCACCATCGTCATCATCTTCAACTCTGCCTCCTTTCTCCAAACTGGAATATTTGGACATTGAAGAGATTGAAGATTTAAATTCTGTATTAGAGGAGTTTTTGCACCTGATATACAATAATAATAATAACAACAAAACCCTATTCTCATATGTAATGGGGTAAGGGGAGGTAGAGTAGTAGGCTGTCCCCAAACGGCTGTCCCCAAACGCTAGGTTAAGAGCAGCTTCCGTGGAAGACCTCTGATAGTTAAAAAATTAAAAATAAAGATAAAATACAATGTATGTTTAAATAAATAAATAAAATACGTAGTTGGACAATCTTCATATGCACGTCTGTAATGGGAAATAATAGTTCAAAGATCTCTTGTACAATTAATTCATCTTAAAATTTAAAATTAAATTCAGTTTTAATAATATATTATTAAATTTATTGATAATATTCTATCACTAGATCGAAAGTGATAATATGTAGTGCACAGGTAAGTCAAATGGAATCCTACTAAATAGGCCCTTTTAACTTTAGGCCGAAGTATTCAATCAAATCTTTGAATTATATTAAAATATTTAATTAAATTTTTATGTCATATCATCTTTTACATATAGACGACTATATTACAGACATAAATTGTCACATTAAGGTAGTAATTCAAAGTATTAGGTTGGCTACGCGTGAAATATCATCATGAAAACTAAACCACATTATTCAAATGTCTTAAATTGTACGCATCTTTTTTCCAATAAACGTGATGGTGATTATCTTTCTTTCCCAACTTATTATTTTTTCAGTATATTTGAATTTTTGGGTTTTCCCCCAAAAAAAAAGTCTTTTTAATAAAAACAATGGACGTTTTTCTATTTTTAGTATATTTTATCTATTTTTGTAATATTATTTTTAAGATAAAATTTAAAAGTGTCTTCTTCAGGAACACCATCTAACATCTGGTGCAAACCCTCGGACTCGGTCATTAAAAATAAATGTTGATGCTGTTTGCTCTCGTCTGGACAGAAGATCGACGATCGGCGTGGTGGCCCGTGATCGGTATGGGATAGTGGTAGCTTGCCAGGCCATTCCTTTATTTGATTGCAGTGATGTGTATATATATTATAATAATAATATAATATGTATGATGAATGCTATGATAATTTAATACATGTATATATATTATAGTGTATATTATACTTATGCATACAATATAAGTATATAATATAAATATACATTATACTTATAATATATGTATACAATGTATATATAAAGTATATAAATTATATAGCATAAGTATATATATAATATACAATTACATATATAAGTATATAATATATAAGAATATAAACTATATAATATAAGCATATATACAAGTGTGTATATATATATATATATATATATATATATATTGTAGTAGTTTTTTACTCTACTTCTAAATTCTAGCCGTTTTCTTCCTTGTCTTCCCTATTTCTTTTTTTTTTCTTTACAACTTGTGTCAGTTTTATTGATTAATTCAATTTTGTCTTCTTTAATTTTATTTAACCGGCGACGGCATTGATTTTGATACTAGTTGCCACCCGCCAGTCATCTTTTTTCTTTGTTTTTTAGTTTTTAATAAGAATATATATGTTTTTGTGACATGTTCTATGCCTTTATTGCACGTTTATCTCTGTATTTGTGGTACATTTTTCTCTACCTTTTGGTCGCTTACGTTTTTTTATCGTTATATTCGTTTATCTTTTTTCTCAGGGTTGGATTTGACTTCGTCATGACTGATCAAGATAGCGCTTATTTGTTATCATGATGATCTTCCCTGCTTTTATCCATCAGATTGATTTGGATACGCGTTTAGCGTTCGTGGATAGTTTTTTTACGTTGTTTGACTATGATTTGCGAATTGTCAATGGCCTTTAGTGCTTCATATATTTATGCATGTCACAATTTATTAAAAAATAAAAGAAAAAAATACTATATGTATATATATATATATATATATATATATATATATGCATATGTATACTTATATATAAAAAGTGTGTGTGTATATATATATATATATATATATAAAGTATAGAATATATAAGTATATTTATAAGTATACAATATATGCATAAGAATGTATATATATATACATATATATGTAAGTATATAAATGTGATGTATGTACACAAGTATAAATATATATATATATATAATTAAACATGAGTGACTAAAATAAAAGATTCTAAAATTAACATTTGCATTTAATAATTATGCACATTAAAGAAAGAAGGAAAATTAAAAGTAATTAAAATGTATACACAATTAAATTGCATCGAATTGAAAATTCAAAAAGAGATTTACATTTAAACCATGACTAAAATAAAAGAAATTAAAAACCAATTTACAAAGTGAAAAAACCATGATTGTTGGAGGAGCATGAGTCTAAGTAACCCAAAATATCTTATTAGACACTAGGCGTGGCACCAACTTCCCAAAATTCTATATTCCCTCTAAATTTCCAATTTCACTTTATTCCCAAAAATTTCCTTCCCTCTAAATTCCCAAATTCTCTCTATTCTCAAAATTTTCCAATTTTCATCTAAATTTTCAATTCCGCTCTATACTTTCAATAATATATATATATATATATATATATAAGTTTTTAATCTCAAATAATTTAATTTTATATGATATTTTAAAAAATTTATGTTAAATTATATTTAAATTATTAATTAATTATTACATGAAAAATTAATTAAATTTATAAATATTTAAATTAATTTTATATAATATAAGAAAACAATGTTCAATAAATAAATTGTTTAATGGAATTAATTTAATGATTATAACTAAGATTTATAATATAAAGATTATAATTAATATAGAAAATAAATTTATTAATTTAATTATCATAACTAACAATTTGTTTTAACTTTTAGAAGTAATCATATTAATTTTCATAGTTTATTATAAATTCAAAATCTCACAACTTTATTAATTATAACTTAAGTAAGTTAAATATCAAGTCAGGTAAATATCAGATTATGTCAATAACAAGTAGAATTATTTACATGTTTAGTCAATTATAGGTCAGGTTAATAACATGTCGAGTAATACCAGTTATTTACCAGGTTAATCTCGGGTTCATGTTCATATCAGTAAGATGCAGGTCGGGTTCGATTATCATATTATTGGTTCAATTCAGGTTCACGTCATTCTCAGATAGGGTGCAGGTCGGGTTAATATCCATAATTTCCAGGTCCAACTTAAGTTCAGGTTAATACCAGTTCAGACTCAAGTATGTTTTGGATCACCATCGCTCAGGTCACAAACAATTTTGACTCGAGTCGATCTTAGTCGATTTTACAAGTTGGGTCAACTTTTTACATCCCTACCTTTAATTTACGTTTATTTAGTTATTATATTAATGTTTTATTTATTCCTTCAAATTAATATGCTTATGTTGATAGATTTCACAATCATTAAAGATAAGTCACAAATAAATGGTAATAAAATAAGTTTGTCAAGATATTATCATTATTTTATGTTAGCATCGATAGTATTTATCTTCTACATATGATAAAAATATTTATTTGTATCTATTATTTTTTTAAATTGTTTAATTAAATTTTTAATAGTTTCATTGTAATCTCTTATTTTATTTCTTTTTGTTTAGTTTGTGCGTTCTATAATTGTCGGAGAAATGATAGTTTATTAGTTTATTTTATTTTTATATAAGTTACTAGTTTTATTGAAAATATAAAATATTTAGAATCACAACGAAGATTTATTATTATAATTGTAAATTAAATATATAATTAAGAATATTTTCTTATAACCACAAGAAAATTAATTATCTAAGACCACACAATGACATACAAGGAAAATGTCAAAACCTTAATAAAAATCAAACAAAAGATATATACAAAAAGATCTGAGTGCTTGATAAACGAATCAAAAAAGGATGAAGCAATTGAAGGGTTACTGAAAAACTACAAATCAAAATCGAACGACATGAGAAAATAATCCACAAACGCAAATTGTATATCTAAATTCAATCAAAAGATCCAAAATAAGGAATATTAACTTAATAATAAATAATAACTAGACGCGACTATTGTTATATCCAATCCTAAACAAATAAATAAAAATAACGGTAAAATAAAAAAAATGCTAAAACAAAAAAAAGGTATGTATCATAAAGATATAATAATTAAATACTCTAAAAGAACGAAGACATAGTCAATGGAATGCTGTTACCGTAGCCACATTGCAAATAACGTTTCACATCCGTCCCATCCATTCACTGCAGAAAATCAATTGACTTGGATCAGATATTCCTTAGTAAGGTTCAACTAACCTTCTTCAATGGCGAACACAAACCACCCTTACAAATTCATAATTTTTCGCTTGTTCATGATATTCAAAGCTGAAAGAAACCTACTTTTTTCTTCGTAAGTAAAAAAAAATGGGTATGTTCAAAGCCTTGATCACCCTGTTGTTAGTAATAGTCATTTCCTTGCTCGGTGAAGCTCAGCAGCCTAATTATCTCTACCATGTTTGTCCGAACAACACTACTTTCTCCGGAAATAGCACTTACCAAGCCAACCGCGATAGCTTATTGTCTTCGTTGTCGTCTAATGGCAGCCGGGCAAATGGTTTCTACAATACGACCTCAGGCGGTGGTGCTGACAAGGTGTACGGCCTTTTTCTTTGCCGTGGGGATTTATCTACCACCGTCTGCCAAGGTTGTGTCACGTTTGCCGCCGATGACATTTCTAGACGTTGTCCCGTTGAAACAACGGCAGTGGTTTGGTACGACGAGTGCCTCCTACGGTACTCGAATTATAGTATATTTTCCCGTGTGGTTGAAGCACCTACATTCGCCTTGGCTAACTCTCAGAATGCCACCGACCTGGACCGTTTCAATCGGCAATTGCAAGCGGTGATGAATGAAACAGAAACCGAGGCCGCAAACGCATCGCCGGGTGCTAAAAAATTCGCGACTCGAAAGGTGGAGGCCAATTTTTCAAGTGCTCTAAATCTGTACACCCTCGGCCAGTGTACACGGGATTTGTCAAGCACGGATTGTGATAATTGTCTACGGTTCGTAATTTCAAATCTTCCGAGAGGAAGCCAAGGAGGAAGACGGCTGACTCCGAGCTGTAACGTCATATATGAAACTTACCCGTTCTATAATCAAACAGCAGTCGCGCCTCCACCTCCGGCGACACCGCCTCATCCAGGTTCAGGTAAATATTCATCCATGATCATTTGTTCTTCCACTTTTCTCTTGATTTTATGGCATATTAGCCGTATATATTATACTTTCAGGACGGAATGGCCGAAGAACATGGCCAATAACTGTTGCCATTGTTGTTCCAATTACTGTCATCATGTTGCTTTTATTCTCGGTGTGCTGCCTGTTAAAGAGGAGGGCAAAGAAGAAATACAACTCTTTGCAGGAAGAAAATGGTAAAGGACATGTTTGTACAAATTTATTTCCTTGTCTTTCAGAGAAAAAAAAAATTGACACTTTTTGTTCTTTGGTTGTGATCAGGGTATGACATAACCACTGTAGATTCATTGCAGTATGATTTTACCATAATTGAAGCTGCAACAGACAGGTTTTCAGATGCTAACAAGCTAGGCGAAGGTGGTTTTGGTGAGGTTTACAAGGTATTGTTACTTCCGTCAGATTCTAACCCGAACCCATTAGTTCCGAACTGTAATTGATCTGAATCCGAAACTAAACCGAACCTAAAATGATATGAACTTAATCCATAACGACTCAAACATGAACAACTTAAACCCAAAATAACTTCAGTCTCAAACTGATTCAAACCAAAATGATCCAAAAAATTTAAAATCGAATAAACTCCATGTTACTGATTTTTATATTCCCAGGGTGTTCTTCCTAACAAACAAGAGATAGCTGTTAAGAGGTTATCAAGAGGTTCAGGAAAAGGTGCAGAGGAATTTAAAAACGAAGTGGTACTGGTAGCTAAGCTTCAACATAGAAAACTAGTGAGACTACTGGGATTTTGCTTGGAAGGAGAAGAAAAGATACTAGTATATGAATATGTGCCCAACAAGAGCCTGGACTACTTTGTTTTCGGTAACTTTTCACATACTTGGCAAGACCCTGACTTGAATTGATTTTCAAGGCTGCTCTAGTTTAACACATATGCTTATTTGTTTTAGATCCTTCAAAACAAGGAGAATTGGACTGGTCGAGGCGATACAAGATCATCGGAGGGATTGCTCGCGGAATTCTTTATCTGCACCAGGATTCTCGGCTTAGAATCATCCACCGTGATCTCAAGGCCAGCAATGTATTGTTAGATGGAGAAATGAACCCCAAAATATCCGATTTCGGCATGGCAAGAATTTTCGGAGTCGATCAAACTCAAGGAACGACTAGAAGAGTTGTTGGAACCTAGTAAGTCATGACTTCTTTTCATATTGCAGCCTAATAGTTGAATGGCCAAACATCTCCATTGCGCTGACATCTTTACTTGTTCAAAACAGCGGCTATATGTCTCCGGAATATGCAATGCAGGGCCAGTTTTCGGGGAAATCCGACGTGTACAGTTTCGGAGTTCTAGTAATAGAAATCTTAAGTGGCCAAAGGAACAGTAACTTCTATCAAACAGAAGGTGCTGAGGACCTCATTAGCTACGTGAGTATAATTCTTCTGGCCCTGTTTGTTCAAATACCCTGATCGAGAACCTATTGAATCTTTGATGAACCAATGCAGGCTTGGAAACTATGGAAAGATGAGAGACCCCAAGAATTGTTGAACCCTCTTCTGAGGGATAATTACTCGAGAAACGAAGTCGTCAGATGCGTTCAACTTGGATTATTATGTGTTCAAGGAGATCCGGCCAATAGGCCTACAATGGCTACCGTTGTTCTAATGCTTAATAGTTACTCAGACACACTGGCAGTGCCTGCAAAGCCAGCATTTGTCCTTCACAGTAGGACAGATGGGATGATGCCATACAAGGGGCTTGAATCTGATCAATCTACCAGTCAATCAATGCCATGGACTATCAATGACGCATCCATCACTGAATTAGACCCTCGGTAATAAGACTTAATGGATGCATCATCATCATAATCAACCTCAAGGTAGATAGCTATATCTGTCAATGATGAATAAGTCCTTCGTTCTGCCAATGTATGCATTCTAGACTTATTTACTCCCAAGATATTGGATTCTTGATATTTTTCTATTTTCAATACTTTTGGATTTATTACATAAGATATCCTCAAACCATAACATATATTTTAAAGTGGTCCTCAAACTTCGATAGTCTATCGGAGCACGTTTCATGGCCAACCGTTTATCTCTTTGGAGAGCACCCACGGTGAGAGTGATTACTCACTGCTATTAACCAGTAATCAATCGATAACACATTAAACTTTTGCTATACTTGGTATTTAAAGGCAGCCAGGCCCGTATTTGAGCATGAGCAAGAGGGGCACTTGTCTAGCCCCTCTTGCTCGGGGCTAAAATTATAAAATTCATATATAATTAAATAATAATAAATTATTTATTTAGTCACTCATCTATTCTTTTTTTTTGTTTTGGTTATTCAATTATTATTATTTTTTAAATTATACTTAACGTTACATTTTAATTTTGTTGGTTATTCATCATTAAAAAATCAAGAACAATATTGATACGATATTTTTAAATTAGTTTTCACTTTTCATTAAAATTAGATATATATTTTTTGCTATTAGGGGTGCACCTTGAACAACTGTTCATGCCCCTCATTTTGTATGGGGCTCCTAATTTTTTTTATAATATTATTTATTTTTTTAATTTAACCCTTTAATTTTCTTTAATTTTAGTATTTTATCCTTATAATTAAGATCCCTAATTTTTGTAATCCTACTTTTTATCTTTATAATGGAGGCCTTTTTTTCAATCCTATTTTTTTACATTTATAATTGATGATCCTAAGTTTTTTGAATCTCACCTTGTACCTTTATAATTAAGCTCCTGTTTTTTTCAATATTACTTTTTACCTTTATAATTGAGGTCACAAAATTTTTCAATCCTATTTTTTACTCATATAATTTAGGCCCCAATTTTTTTTTCAATCTCGCTTTTTTACCTTTAAAATTGATGCCCATATTTTTTCAATATCACTTTACCTTTATAATTGAGGTCTCTAATTTTTCAATCATAGTTTTTACTTTTATAGTTTAAGCCCTTAATTTAATCATTTTATACAATTTATTAACGTAATATTAAATTAATTATTTAAAGTATTAGAATATACTTTCATTTTATAAGGGTCTATCTTTTAGTTTCGCTTAGGGTCCTGAAAATATCTGAGATAACTATGTATTTATTAGATAGTTTATTAAACGTACTAAAAATTAATTTACAAACAAATTTATTTATTTATTTTCGCTCTTACAATTTAATTTTTTCGATGCTTATTATTAAATGTCTAATTTTTATAAACTCTATACCACTAAAATCTCATAAACGGACCTCCTACAGCCCTAAGATAAAAGTCAAAGATATAAATGATTTTCTTTTGAGTTCCTCAACCCTCTTTAACATCCCATTATTGCCCTAAAAAGTTGAAGTGAGATATTTCTTTCTTGTCATTAATTTAATATAATATCAGTTGAAAAGAGTTGGTTTTTGGTACTTCCATTTCTTATTGTACATGATAATACCTTGGACCTGACTGACAGCAATCCTTAGCAATCATAGACATGTTTATATCTGTTCAAATTAAGTTCAACAAAATTGTCATTTTTTAATCGAGTTAGGTCATTAAAGTATAATTTAAAAATAGAGTAACTTACATCTCTGACCATTTAATTATGAAGATTTTAATTTGGTCATTGACTTTTAATTTTATTAATCGGATCATTAAACAATTTAAATAATATCAATCAAGTCATTTATGGTTAATATTTAAGTGAGAATGTGACGTGACAGTTAAAAAAATTAGTACACATTTGATTCTTGTTACTTACATATTATATCAATTTGATTTTAATTTTAATTTAAATCAATAAATTTAATCTCCTAATCAGATGGTAATACATGTTACTTACACATTTGATTGGATGGTTTTTTTTCTCTCTTAATTTTTATTTATTTAATTCAATAGATTTTCCTCCAATTAGATTGTGACAAATGAATTGAAGAATAATGAAATTGAGAGAAATTGAACCAAGGAGTTTAAGGAATTTTTTGGGACACGCTAACAACTAAGCCAAACCCCTTGTTTGGTGACACTAGTGAAACACATCAACATCTTATTAGATGATTAAATTTGTTAAATTAAAATTAAGATTAAATTAATAAATATATAAGTAATAAGGATCAATTAGTAATTACATCAATTTTTAACTATCACATCATCCCCTCCGTTAGATGTTAATTGTTGATGACTTGATTGACATCATTTAAATAATTAAATAGTCTAATTGACAAAAAAATTGATGATCAGATTGAAACCATATAATTATTCTCATATTTGCTAATACAAAAAATCAACTCCACAAAAATGCATACTATTAGTGTATATCGATATGTGAAACTTTCTTGAAAGTAACAGAATTTTGAAGAATTATAACCCTACGGATATTTAGAAAGATAGACCTAAGCAAGGATGGACATAGAGTTTTATATTAGGAGATAAATTTTTTATAATTTTACGAGTGATAAATTTATAAAATCTTAGAGGTGAAAAGATATTATAATAAAAATGCATAAAATTATTAAAATATACAATAATTTAAATTTTTAAGGGGACGACTATTACCACATCTCGATTCATCCTAGTTCTGAATTATGTATTATTATACGGTCCAATCAATTATGATAAAAATATAGAAAAGAAAGTTTCATACATTATACGGTGACAATTAGGTTAGGTCATAACTCAAAATTTAAAGATCACTTCCTAGATTTGTTGATATTATAAATAATGATTAAAATGTTACGAGTCATTATCCATTTCCATCAAGGAAACATTGTCGGGAAGCAATCACAAGGTTTCCCGGAAGCAATCACAAGGTTTCCCGTAAGCATATTGTCGGAATCGTCTCTCGGTTGAACTCGAAATTGGGTTTCGATTTGAATAATTGGGTTAGAGTCACCACCGATCATTAAAAAAATATTTAGGTAGATCGAACACCATCTTACCTGATCTGTGTTTTACCAGAAATATATCGGGTTCGGGAGTCGGTTACAGTCAAGGAAGGATTAGCACCCTTGTACTGCCCTTTCGGTACCAATTAATTTGTCGGTTGTCTTAATTGCGAAAATTAAAACTTAAAAAACTCGATTCAAATTAATTAACTCTGATTTACTGGAATTTCTCTAAAAAAAGTCAAAAAGAATGTTAGATTATAAGAATAAAAATAAACAAATAAATAAATATGAAGACTATTAACAGTTCGGTTCAACAAAGGTAAATAATTTGAAGACTATGGGTTCAACAATAACAATTCGATTCCATTAGCCTTCCTGTTGGGAATTATAATCATGGAATACACTAACACTTTCGTACAAGTGTTGAAATGTATGCTAGGCTATCATACATTTAAACAACTAAACTCATAGAACTTAAAACACCAAAAAGCTGTTGAATTCTAAAAAGTCTGATGTTAGCAAATGAAAACAAGTAAATAAATAGAGCATGAGCGTTCCTTGTTCCATTTTCATTCAAAAAATGGGATTTCGTCCTCAGACATTTAGGGCCTTTAATAGCAGGTGTTAAATTGATTGATCATCAATAATATAACCTTATACGAGAAAGAACTTAAACACCTCATTGAAATGGGAACCAATTAAGGGTTAGGCAACCAACGGTTTTTAGCATGATTGCATAAAATGATTCTGACTGTAACGAGCATTACAATAATCTAGGAATTAATAAATTAACCACATAAAGCCCATTTATTTGAGAACTTAATGCAATCTATCCTCCGTTCTCAACTCGCATCAATCCTATACCATTTAACTTCTATTCAAAGTGATCATGTAAATGCTCAACAGAATCCATTGTCGCCAATCGATACCAATAAAACACCCATGATTTATTCATGATAAACCACAGTCCAGATACAATATCCATCATTTGTAAAAGCAGTCTCAATTAAAAAATGCCCCATGTTATACCACCTACAATTTTGATAGACGAGATCGAGAAAACAAAAATTACCTTCTCTTTTCCTTGGCTGGATTTGCAGAATCAGAATGAGGTAAGTAAGCTGTCAAAATCCCTTCCGAAGCCATCGAGAACCAGCTGAAATCATCATTGCCGTAAGCTCTCACGACCCGATAATGTAACAGAGCTTCAATGCCCGCCAGTGCGAGATTCCAAGGCAAAGCCAACGATAAAGCAGTCGAGGTTCTTTCTCTGATGACGACACAAGCTTTTAGAATCGACTCATATCCACCAGATTTGTTCGTTCCCGATGAAACCAATGCGATGTTTGAAATCACGAAAGTATTCGCCAGAACCAGAGAGTAGAAAACAGCCCCGAAAGCCGACAATAAATGAAGCCAACCAGGGGAAGACCATCCCAACCCATTGATCAAATTGAACTCGAAGAACAAAACGGAGAGAGACGTTGCATTCGTCGAAATGATCAACATGGAATTACAAATTTGGGTTTCGAGGAGGGGCTTGTAGAGTGAAAGAACCGATGAAAACAACTAAGGTTTCTTCGAGGTTCTCCCATGGCAGAAACAGAGTTCGATAACGATGGTCTTGGCAACGAGGAAGAAAGAGAACGTGAAAGGAAATGCGAAAACTGAGAAACAGATGGTTTGGGAAAGTTTTAAACTGAGAAGCGTGAAGAAATCTGATGAATAAGGGAACCCAGAAGCTTGAAAAAGATCATCGAGGCGAGCCTGGATCGGTTGAAGCAAAGAAGAAGATGTAACATATATTTGCGAAAGAAGAAGTGAAACAGAGTAAGGGAAAGCAAGAAGAGCAGGTGTTAGAGTGAAGAAGTGGTAATTTTGAAGGAAAGTGAAGATCGATCTTCTCAAAATGCTGGTTGATTTCTCCATTTGAGTTCTTGGGGTATTATCCTCCACTGATGAGAGAAAGAACATGCCCTGTAAAGCCGTGATGCT